TTGTGCACCAAAAGAAGGAGATGGATCCTCTGCAGTAGCAGTGGGGACGAGCTCCTAGGCGCTAGGGCACATCCATGTACTCTGTAGATCGTTATCACTATGGAAGTAAATAAGTGCCGAGTGATGGGCACTCAGCGGAGAATACCTTGGCTTGGAACTTGGGCTCGCTTGTTCCGCCATTGTAGTTTAGCGACTTCATTAGCCGCTACAAGGGTTTCGCTAATTTTCGCTTCCCCCTCCGAACGCAAACTTGTTGACGTTCCCACTTCCCCCAGGTGTTTTCTGTCTGTTACCTCATAGAGTTACCCTGGGAACTTGGTTGTGTTTATGTCGCTCTTTAGAGGAAAGTTCATGTTAATGTTATAACGTGGCCGTTACATTTCATTGCTGTGGATTCTTTTGGTCCCCCATGATCCTCTTTTTCTTACGTTAATGGAGAGCTGAGTTGATGAGATAGCCACCTGTCAGTGACCTCGCTGGTGGTCTAATCCCTATTGGCCAAACTAGTACAGACAGCCTTTAAAGTGTCATTTTGATTCAATCTGGAATCCCACAGTGTAAGATTTTTGGGGTTATTTCTTCTTCTTTTTTTTCCCTTTTTTTTGGGGGGGTGCAAAGTGGTGTTAAGACACTTCATGATTTTTTTCCTAAAAAGTTAGTCCTCCCCCCCCCCCCCTAAATGAATATGCTGCTGGACTACATAAAGATTATTAATAAGTTTTGAACAACTTCATGAAAATCCATATTAAAAGGAGAGGTAGAGAGTAGAGAAGAGTAGGCCCAAAGAAACGTACTTTTACAGAAGCTTTGCACTCGACCTTTTCTCTATGGGGATCAAGAAGTCTGGACTCTTCTCTCGCCGATACCTTCTATATCCGCTCTCCTTTGTCCAGACTGATTCCAGCATCGAACCTTTGGGGACGTGAATCTGAACGACTCGCGAAAATTCATGGCTTATGGTTTGTTCAGATATGGCGCAAAAAAACACTATGTCAGAAAAGCCGTAAATGAATGGCAACTTTAGGCAAGAAAGGACTTTCGCGTATTAACTGATCTCTGTGTTATAAAATGTAGAAATGGGAAAGGTATACACTTTACGTCATCATGAAAACCAAAGCAGTTTTGCCGCATCATATTTGAACAGGTCTTTAATATTTAAAGGAAAGTGTCTAGTTTCCAGTTACTGTATGTATATTCCTAAAAGACTGAGCATGTTTACATTTCACCTTTAAGTTGGATTGTAAATCAAAATATCGCATTATTTGGTGGTACCCGTTCATACCTGGCTTCATTTAAATCGAATATGTACATTAAAATAGCAGCAAAAATTGTACACACATGTACATGTACAGTTATCAACTAAATTATTCATACCCTATTAAAGTAATTCTCTAAGTATGTGAAAAATGGACTTGTCCCAAATTATATTTCTTTAGAATGTTTAATATTAAAGGCCCACTGCACAACTTGTAGCTACTTGCGCCCTCTATATAACAAACAATGCCTAATCGGTGACCATTGGTCCCCCATGATCCTCTTTTTCTTATGTTAACTGAGAACTGAGTTGATGAGATAACCACCTGTCCAGTGACCTTGCAGGGCAGTCTAATCCCTCCTGTAAACTACGGCAGATAAGCTTTAAAGCCTACTTTTAAAATTATTCAACTAAGGCCCTAATTCAACCAGTCCACCTTTCATTTTTGAGTGACAACAAACCACAAAAACACATCAAATTTAAAGCCCCTCTGCAATTATTTTGCATGGAGGGATTAGACCTCCCTGCAAGGTCACTGGCAGGTGGTTATCTCATCAAATCAGCTCTTAAGTAACATTAAAAAAGGGGCATCATGGGGGATCAACAGGTACTGCTTAGGCATTGTTGGCTGTATAGAGGGCACAAGTTACCAAGTAGCTGTAAGTAAAAGTAGTACAGTGGGGCTTTAAAAGGAGTATGAATGATTCATTTGCTGACTGTACATGTAGGTCGTAAGTGTGAACAGGGCAAGAGAGAGAGGGTACGTCATAGAGCTGAGGGAGAGGCGGGTGACTAACGCAGGAAAGCAGCGTAACCGCAAGTGTTCTGGTATGGTAGGGTTTGTGGGTCAATCATGGTGACGAAGCGTTCTGTCATTCCCCGATCCAGGGAAGGCCGCTGGTTGGGTCCAGAGCAGCGCGGCAGTGGCGGCCGTGTCATAAAGCAACAGCAGGTCGACAGAGAGAGAGAGAGAGAGCCTGCATTCACACTACATATTCGTGATGAAACGAGAATGGGCTTAAAAGTAAAGTTTGAACTAGCTATCCGTACAAAATGTAAGATAATATATAAAGCGGGGTTGGGCGGGGTTGGGAGGGGTTGGTATCTTCTGTCGCATTTACATACCCCTACCCCCCCCCTTTTTTTTGGGGGGGGGTGGTAATTGTTCATACACTGTACAGAGGCATGTTCCCCCTTTACCCCTTGTAGTTTACACGCTTCCCAGCACACATGTACAAACCACATTTGAGAGGGTGTGAATACACCTAGAAATAGGGCTGGAGGTGGGCGGGTGACTCGACTAAGTATCACCTGTCAAGTTTTAAAGGATCAGCTTATTTATCATTCATTTAGCAGCATGTGCCCCCCCCCCCCTCCCTTGACAGAATCTGCACCTACATGTACGTGCATTAAGAGATTGTGATATACCTCGGGAAACGTGTAGGGCTGAGTGTGTGGGTGACTCCACCAAGTAAACCCATCAGGTTTAAAGGATCAACTTTTCCTAGAAATAAGTCTGAAATCGTTCGTTAAGTAGGAACATCTGAAAGGCCGATGCAACGTGGGCCAAGTTTCAGACTTATGACTGTCCCATGTTTTTTAAGGTGTCTCCAACGTAACCATCTCGTAAACCTTTCCCGTTCAGAATACTTCTATTATCTTGGTGGCTGGACATTTGGTTTTCGTCAAAGTTACAGAGTTAGGGTTAGGAGGGTTACAATCGGGTCTTGGTTAAATTTCATGTTGTGAGTAAGTTAGGGTTTAGTGATAATAGTCCAAAGTCGAAGTTGGGAATCGGGTTACATTGTCCATTCAGCATTTGCTCCCGGATTCCACACAGAGCTTTTGTTCTATTGTTTTTGTCTTTTTTTCCAGTAAACTTTGATACAGAAAAAGTAAAAGTTTACAACAATATAAAAAAAAACAATACAATTTATTATTTCTTGCATTAATATACTTGTTTTACACCACCTCAATACACATTTCTATTTTCTGCACCCCCCCCCCCCCTTTCTCTTTTCCCCTCCCTCTTTCTCTAATTCTATCCCCTCTATCTTTTCCTCTATTGCTTTTTTTCTTAAAGATAAAGACCAGTTCTGGTCATTCGATTGCATTGTGAAAGAAACGTGGAATCGATCAGAAAAGGTTGATCATCTAGCATATAAGTATTAGGGTGTACTGCAAGGTTCTGGAACATCAAAATGATAAGAAATTTGGCCAAGTCTTCGTAAAGTTACAAGCACTGTACACAGAAAGATGTATATGGGACTACGCACATGTGCGCGACACGACATGACACGTGTGTGACACCTGCGTATTATCTATTTAGTCCCAATAGATAAACTAATTTACCAAATATATCAATTAGTAGGCGGTTTCCCGGCAATTTTTTTTATCATCATGTATTAGTCAAAACATTTTCTTTCACACGATTGGTAATAAGAGCTTCCATTTCATTTTTTTAAAGGGGGGGGGGCGGCGTTTCCAAAACTGGTCATTACCTTTAACTGTCTGTGACCCTCTTTTATAAGATTGCCATAAAGGTGGAAACTTTTAATGTAGAGGTAGGCCACAATTAGTAAAGCAAGCTCTTCTTTATTAAAGTTCCTGACCGAATTGAGATTATAAGCACACATCTTTGACACATGATGTTATACATGTATGGTACATGTATGTGTCATTGTGGATCTAACCAAACAGAAGTTGTATCTGTCAATTGTCATAAAAGGCCAAGCAGTTCTACATGTATATGTTCATCCACAGCAGTCAATGATTTATTTTTGTATAATTACACATTAAACAGTTTGTATTCATTGCTGTAGAAACATTCAGTACATACATGTTTGACCCAAGCCCAGTATACAGTGTAGTTTGGAAGCCACTTTTCACTTATGTACATCAAATCTCTAGACAAAGATCATAAAACACATGTTACATACCCCTGTATTTACAATTGTGTTATCCATTATTTTATGTGTCCTCGTTTCCCAATAGCCCATCCATTTCCCACCTTAGATATGTATAACACATTGATTATTGGTAATATATAAGAGACTTGCCCGAATAACTTTTAAATCTGCTTTTCTATAAATGAGACACCTGTCACAAACTGCCCTACCACCCCTCCCCCATTCCCTTCTCCTAAGGGGGGAGGGAGGCACACGTGCCCTCTTTCACACTTGTCAGCGCATGGTGTGAGAGTCCCTAGCTGCTCAAAGTGTGAGCATCTGACAAGCGCTATAACCCTGCACCTGTCACTGTATGATCTTTCCTTCAACTCTTACGTAATATGTACGGTTTAGGCTCAATTGATCTGCTAAAAATCAACCAAAGTAGAGAGAGAAAGAGAGCACATAGCCCTTCATACCCAGTCAATTGTTGAGTCCCCTCTGCGGGGCATTACACATCTGTCTGTGATTAGTGATACAGATACTGAAATGCTCACCGCTGCCGTTTTTGTCATTTAAACGTGGATCGCTCCAAATTTGGCGATTGTGACCAATTATGTAATACTTCTCCATTGACATGTGTAATGGGGATGCCGAAACAAGGAGGTGAACAATTGCATCGGAAATTGTATTGGATCCTTTATGTGGCCTTATATGGGATTGGTACATAATAGAAGGAGTTTCTGTTTATGAGAGCTAAATGAGAAGGGGTGTGATTAGATATTTGATCGCTAAAATGAGATTGTTGTTTGGACGTCCACCTCAACTGTATGGTTTCTTTTTGTCTTCCTTGCCAGATGAGCAAATGACCGATCTGTCCATCCCGACTCCACCGTTAAAACACAATCACTCGCAAGAAGCCTTCTTCACGACCTTGAACTCACACCAGGATACAGCAGAGGTATGGTTTTATTCCTTCTGTCTCTCCACTCTGTGTTCCCTTCCCTTTCCTCTTCCCTCTCTCTCTCTCTCTCTGTCAGGTCCCTCTCTACCCCCTCCTTTTCCCCTTCTTTTCTCTATCTGCCCCTTTCTCTCCTTTGCTTCTTCCCCTCCCCTTGCTCCCTCTTCCCCTCCCCTCCTCCTCCCCTCCTTCTCCTTCTCCTTCTCCTTCTCCTTCTCCTTCCTCCTTCTCCTTCTCCTTCTCCTTCTCCTTCTCCTTCTCCTTCCCCCTTCTCCTTCTCCTTCCCCCTTCTCCTTCTCCTTCCCCCCTCCCCTCCTTCTCCCTTCCTCTTCATCCCTCTTTTCCCTCTCCCCTCCTTTCCTCCCTCTACCTCTCTCACTCCCTATATTCACCCATCCTTCTTTTGACCACTAAACTTTTCAAAATTATTGAATCTGTTTGATACATGCATCTTAACATGAGCTGTAAAGGGTACATGAGCATTTGTCTACATCAATAACCCACTGCCTGTAATGGCCAAAATTGAACTGATTGAATCTTTGCGCAGCACAAAACGTACATATATGACCATTCCGTACAAGGGTTTAAAAATCAAACTATTTGATTAAACGACCGCGATTTGTTATTTTCCCACAAAAAGACATTTTTAAGCCCTTTTGTTTTGAGGGAAGTTCTAAATTAGTACTATCTTTCAAAAGCCTTTGGAATTCAACCTTTTCATTTTGGGGGCCTGCAAATGGGACATAGTACCTTCAAGGTGTCATTCTGTAAAATATAGCTTCGTAGTGTATTTTAATATGTTTCTCTATGTTGCTTTATTCTAGGATGATAGAGCCGATAGTTTCCAATAAATTTACTGTTGGTCAATTTCAGAATGTTACTTTTCAATTTCGGTATTTCAATAAACATAATTATTGATTTGTTTAAATATAATTTTCCTCCTTTTTGTTCTACTTCTCTTATCTAGGCGAGCACGAGTTACCAGTGCAGTGACAACAACAATAACAGTAGTCCCTCGGCAGAGCCTTGGAAGTGTTCCAACTGCAGCGAGGTTTTCAGCACATTTGCACAACTCGAGTCGTGCCCCTGTGAAAACAAACGTGCCAAGAGAGGGCGCAAGCCGAAGGTCAAATCACCCGGCGTCCCGACAACGATCTCCAGCGAAGGTTTGATCTTGGGCGGCGACGTGAGAAAGGCAGAGGGCCTAGCGTTGAAAACTGAAAAGGAAACTAAAACGGGTAAACCTCGACGGGGACGAGCCAAAAAAGAACCCAAGACTTACGCTTGCAGCGAGTGCCCGAAGATATTTGTGAACTCGGAGAAGCTTAAGACGCACACGTACATGCACTCAGGGGAACGCCCCTATGTATGTTCAAACAACGGATGTTCAAAGGCATTTATTTCAAAGTACAAGCTTCTTCGACATATGGCAACACATTCACCGAATAAGATGCATTGCTGCACTCACTGCAACAAGAAATTCCACCGCAAGGATCACCTGAAGAATCACCTTCAGACGCATGATCCGAATAAAGAGGCCTACCGATGCAACGAATGCGGTAAGGTCTACAGTACCAAACCGGGCTACAAGAAGCATCTGGCATTACATGCTGCAGCATCGGGGGAACTGGTGTGTAAGTTATGTGAAAAGGACTTTGAGAGTACAGAGACACTGTTGCTTCATCTGAAGCTGCATTCAGGGAAGTCGACTGGTGTGAAGGAGAAGAAGCACCAGTGTGAGCACTGCGACCGACGCTTCTACACGCGCAAGGATGTTCGAAGGCACATGGTGGTGCATACGGGTAGAAAAGACTTCTTGTGTCAGACGTGTGGGCAAAGGTTTGGGCGCAAGGACCATTTAGTGCGGCACACCCGCAAGAGTCACAAGGAAGACGACATGGAATTACGGGTAAGGTTAGGGGAGCAGTTGCAGGCTGTTGGGGTGACGACAGTACAGCACATGCTAGGGATGCAGCATCTTCAAGAGCAGCAACACCCTCATCATCAACTCCAGCATCAACACCATCTTCAGCAACATCCGCATCAACAGCAGCAACTTTCCCACCATCATCACCACCACCATCAACAAATGTCACCCATGGGCCAACAGCATCAACAGCATCAACAGTTCATGTATCCAATGCAGCAGTCGTTGCCGCAGCCGCCCCCTCCATGCACCATGTCCCAACCACAGCAGTTCACGGAGCTGCTGAAGATACCACCAGTACCAAGGTTCAAATCCCAGATCCAGCCCAAGGTGACCATTAAGAACGAGGTGCTCAAGATGAACGATCCTATGGACCTGGGAGGGTTGGAAAACTGCAGTCTTGGGCGGGGTCAGATGATGCAGGATGCGTTAGGTCCAGGAGGCGTCGACCTGGGCCAGCTCCTAGGGTTCTTACCCCTCAACGCCATGCAGCAGCAGCAACAGCAGCAGCAACAGCTCGCCCCTGCTGCTCCGCCGACACCCACCTCTCCACCCATGTCCCTACCGCCTAACACGCCCCCAGCTACCCTCCCCCAGTCCCCTCTCAACATCCCCCAAACGCAACTACCTCAACAAGGGATGCATGCCCAGGACCAGACGGGGGTGATACCCCAATCACACATGGACAACCACATGAATCACGTGCAAATGCAGCACATGGGCCCCACCCAAATACCCTTCTCCGGAATGCACTCATTACCAAGATTCCACCAGGCTTTTCAGTGATCACTGCCTTTGTTGAACCACACATCTCCTCGTAGCGCCCAGCTCATATTTAGATCTTCGGCTGAATAGCAAAGTTTCTCTGATGTAGCCTTTGGCAAAACATAAGCACTTTGTGTTCAAAAAGCAATCTAACTCATTCCTGACATCTCAGGCATTACAATAAAAAAGATATCTAATTATTATTGTCATGTAGAGGCAACTTCAAAGTGGAGTGGTGATTTGAATCAAGGGTATTTTTCTCTCATTTAAAGATAAAAATTCGGACTAAAAACATGATACATGTATAAACCAGACATTGATAATCCAGGGTATTTTGGTCTCGTCCTAAGTCCATAGATACGGCTTCAAACGTAAACTAGTCCTAGGTTTACCTAAAATTATGTGTTACACGTTTACTCTCCACACCTAGCAGTGTAAACATACCACTTTGATATTCCCTGCCTCGACATGTAACATATATATTTTCCAGGCCTTTCCCTGACCCCTGACCCTGACAGATATCCATTAAATTTTTTAACCAACCACTGCATCAGATGTGACAAGGGATGTAAGGTTTAAACAGTGGTCACGAGCCTGACATTGATTTATTCTGGCTGAGCTACGGCTATTGTAAGGCGATGTGTGAATAGACTTATCCTTCCTGTCACTCTGCAAGAAGAAGATTAAATTCCAGTGTAAACAAGACCTTCATATGACTGTATTCACAGCACACATTTGCCCCTCTCGTTCATACGTAGCGCCAGGAGTGTTCATACGTGTATGATATGCGAGGGAATTATTTAAGACTGCCAGATGGTGTGCTGGAAACTACACGAGAGATGCCGAAAAGCCGTTGGAATAAGGCTTTGCAACGAAGGATCTTGGATTGACGTTTTAAGATATGACCCTTGGCATGAATGTAATATAAACCTTGATCTAATGGATGTTTTACGGAGGTGGTGTGAAAGGGGTCTTGTACATTATACACAATGAGCCAGTTGATGTGTGACAAGTGTGCTGCATTCAGACATGAGTAGAATAATGTAAACGCTGCCTCAATAATATCACAATGTTTTAGTGATACTGCCCTCGCTTGGCCCAACTCATATAGTGCAATCATTTATTTTTGTTCATACCTCTGTAGTCTTATTACTAAGTATTTGCTACAAATTAATGAAATATCCTCTCATTATAATGAAAATTCAATATTTTCAAATACTTGCAGAGTTTTAAAAAAGAATACCGGTACAATGAAAACATGCATCAGGTTAGGATGCATGGGATGCTCAGATATTGAAATTGAATATCAGAATCAACTTACGGGATTTAATGCCTTATTTGTCTTTGAAGAAGAAGAAATGTGTTACATGATTTCTCTTTTCATTTGTAGCAGATACTTGTCAAGTAATCTCTAGCCAGGTGTCTGGTAAACCATTTTTGCTCAGTCAAAGCTTTTGTAATGGTTCTCGATGCAGTAGCTACAAATGGCAAAGTGATATTATTTGTTTATGTCGCATGAATTACTCAAAAAATACCTCGGAAATATCAGTCTTTCTCTTGTTATGTTTGATTTTTTTCTTCTTATTTTTACTTTGGTGTATTTTTAATGACAGATTTGTACTTTGAGGGTATGCATCGAGTGTTTGAATGCAACTCTGTTGATATTATTGTTGATATTATTATGCATTATGCAAGGGGGAAACTTGTGTTTGTGTTTTGGGTTTAGCAGACTAAACCAATTTTGACTTCCAGAAAATTACTTTTCACTGGTGCATTTCTTTACCATTTGATATCATGTTTTGAAATTATGCAAGTGTTTTTTTTATTACAATAATGTCTTTAGATTAAGTTGATAGTTCTGTATTGTTTGTCATCTCTTTGTAATTTGGAAACATCGGTGAGGTTCTTTTGCAATAATCTGTTGTGCTGTCGCATGTTACCAAAGCAATTTCTTGCTATGCACTTAATTATCATTTCTCTCTTGGTTAATAAGTTTTAATGCCAGTAAGGGTAACAGATTCCCTACATGTTAAGGTTACATCTACTTCCAGTCTGACACATTTTCAGAAGACATCTTTTGCTTTGGTGATAACTTTTCAGTAAAGTTGTGTTGCCACGGTTTCTAGTGTTCAATAACGTTACATTGCTCGATAAAAGCACAAGTTGTCAGTAATGGATGTGTTGCTTAAGCTACAAATTTTCAGCAATGGAACGGGGCTAGGGTTACTTGTTATCGTAAGAGATGTATTGCTTCAATTAATAATTTTTCAGGAAAGATGCGTTGCCATGGTAACAACTGGAAGATGGGACCCAGTGAGACTGAGAAGGGTAGCCTTATTTTAAGGAGAGTTGGAATGTTTTAAAGAGTGAGAAACGTGAATGGGTATGCCGTCTACATTGGTGGATAGCAAGAATCGTTAGTTGGGTATCTGCATGTTGGTCAGTACTGGGGTTTTTTGTCGTGAGACAGAATTTCGCTTGTTCACTTAAGGGAAATGGGTAGCAATGATTTTGTCAAGCATATGAATCTTCATGTCCTTTTTGTATTTTGGGGTCCCATAGTTTTACCCCCAACAAAAATTATAATCGGCGCTAACAGCCAATCCTATAAAATTTGGGGTCGGTTTCTCAAGACTTTATTGTCAATAAAAAGTTACTATCATTTAATGAGATGCACTTGATTGCCTTCGAGCAAATCAGCCCATACAGAATTTCAGCTTTTTTGTTGAGATATCGATAATTTTTCTGAGGACTGGGGCTTGAACTATTTTGGATGAATAACCCTAAAGGTTAGTTAGCTATTCTCAAATACTCCAGTGAAAAGAAAAGCATTATTCTGTATGTATGTCTGTTTGTGTGTGTGTCTGTACATATATCAAGTTCTAAATGTTGAACTGTTGCACAAATGATGATCATGTTCCTTGCACGTATATTGTGAACCCCATTGTCAAGGGTTAACAGGCTTATTGTGTATTCCTCGTCGTAATTATGTAACTGTTATGCTGCGTTCATACCCAACCGACACATAAATGTTTGTTGCAGTGTAGACCGTGGGTGGCATTCCTGTTCACACATATTATTTATCTGTTTATCAGCATGTTTAGGCCTCTGAAGAAAAGTTGCTGCAATGCAGGCGCAATCTGTACTCTACATAAAGTGGAATAGTAGCATCAATTTGTTTGGTTTGGGCAAAGGAATCATAGTTCGAGGGGAGCGTTAAAATGAAAGCTTGAAAAATGGTACAACTCTAATTATTGACACATTTTTTCATACATTTTCTTTCAAGGCAGCTGGTTAATGAATTATAAGAAAAGATTAATTTTATTGGTGCAAACCCACAATTAATTCTTCTAAAAATACATTAAAAGTCAATTCAACATGACTTGAACTAAGAAATATTAAATTGCTATCGAATATGTTTTACGCAGCTGTTATTTTTCTTTATTATTTCATTTGAAATAGCTCATCAAAATTAGTCTTTATCTGTCTGTGCTCTTTTTGTTTTGAAATATGCTTTAAAATGTTTTTATTGTAGTGCAGCTGTCAAGAATTTATGCAGCTTAAATAAGGTTTAAGATTTAAAACTCGTGAAAGAATACAGTTTTTAACCAGCAACTGAATACACCGCGATGGGCGCAGCTGCATAGTTTATGTTCATTAATGGTTATAATGTATTTAATATAAATATAATAGTTAAGAAAATAATTGAAAGAAGTTGGAATATATTGGTGAAGGGCTGAAACTAACTAATTACCAAGAGGCAAATTTTAAGCTGACTATACTTGATAAGAACATATTTATAACTCTAGCAATTAATTAAGGATAATCATGTTTGTTTTTCTGTTTTTATTCTGTTTTTGTTCTATTTTTTTTTCAACTGAATTTGATATATGCATTGACTTGTATTCTTCTAATTCAGCTGAACTACGGTATATGCAACAGAAGTCATGTTTTTAAACAAAGCAAAATTTTAATTTGTCTATCAAGCCTCCATCTACTTCCGTTGTTAAACTCAACTTAAGACTGACCTTAATCCTAGTGTCAGGTCAAAAATGAAAGTAGAATTTAGTTTAAATATGGACTTACATTGCTAAGTCGGGAAAATTGTGGAGGATAGGTGGTGGTCTAAAAGAAAAGAAGATATAGTCAAATATACTTAAACCCATTACCTTTGGGACAGGAATGTTCCCTGTATTAAGCTAATGGGATTGAGAGGATTCAACATTCATTGGGTTAATTTGCCATGATGGCATTTGATCTATGACCTTTAATCTATGACCTATGATCTTTGACCTATTATTTGAAGATGTACTTAGGGTTTCCGTTATGGGATCACTGAAAGTCATGGAAATTGATTATGGGTGCGGCCATGTGTTGCTATGGCAGCCTTCCAGTTTGAACCAACAATGGACGTGGTATTTGTATGCCGCTTGGATGCTGCAACCCATATCAAAATGGGACTTATAAATCTGGTTATGGAAAGGGCAAATATAGGTCATGGAAAAGTCATGAAAAGTCATGGAATTTTGTTCTCAAATTTCTTTGGGCAGACGTACCTCTGGACCCTTAAAGTCCAGTGCTATCAGGCTTTCACGTGGAGTATTCGAAAAATTTGTTGTTTCCATTTCAAACATTTTTCGTTGAAATCTTCAGTTTGTTGTGAAAGTGATGGCCTGCTTTAAGCGGTTGGAACAGAGAGAAGAAAGATTTGATGTGAAATAATACATCTCGGACCAGGCACGTCAGAAAAGTTCAGATAATCGACCCCACCACTGCCACCATGATGAGTTTGAGGGTCTTGGTAATGGTAGATAACTCAGGATAATATAGAGTCGGCAGTCTGGTTTGTCATGATAGACATGTTGTTTATTCAACTACGACGGATATTCGGATATCGCATATCGTAACAGTTGAAGGAGGATAATATATAAAGATAATGCTATCAAAATAGCAGTAGGTATCGCGTAAGTACGGACTATGACACTTGTATAGAACGGAAAAATGCTTTGAAATCAAATTTGTCATGAGGCTGCAATTCCTGAAACCCACTGCTTTGTTTAAACTTCCGGTAGATGTCTTGTAGAACTAAGGGAATGCAATAGTTCATGGGTTGATAATTGTAATCATTACATTTTATGTACATTTGGGTCTTGCTTGGAGGTGGATTTATTGAACGGGTAATGGCATATTGTCAACATTCTTGTAATCATCAAGTCATCAATTTTGTTTTCCTTTGTTTTGCTTTGCTTTGCTGTGCTTTCATGGATAAAAGAAATTCACACAACATACGTGTATTCCCTGACTTGCCCGACAAAATGCAGACAAATTGTTTTTACATAAATACAGAACATATGGGGGAAATACCAATACAATCCATAAGCACTTATTATTTGTTTTCAGGTACATTTTCTCATTGGACAATCCTCAATTATGCATTCATGTTTGCAAAGTATTCTATTTATTTTTTCAGGAAAATTTGAAATCAGGTTTTCACCTTATATATCACATACCTCACACCGCCAACACAATGCAGTATCGCAGCCATCAACTAGTCTGCTTAAAAAACAATTTGTTTTCTTCTTCTTCAGAATTTGAGTAGTCCAGTTTTATCATTGGCACATTTCAAACTTTAAGTAATTTCAGACTCTTGTTATTTTGTTTGTATGGGCATTATGTTTTGCTAGTTCTCGTAACATGAATATTCTACAGGTAGATGAACAATTAAGTTTCAATATTTCCTAGTTTCAAGCCTTTGAAATGAATGAAAAGACCATCTTTCAACCACTTTTTTTCTTCAGATGTAGTTTTCTTCATTATTCACCTCATAAAAATAAATGGTTCTTTTATTGCACCTTTATTAATCCACTCGACCCTGGCCCTTAAGAGAACACTTGTGAATTGTGTGCTGGATAAAAGTAATAACCATCACCCAAAAATTGGCTCATTCAGAGCTAATACCATTCTCCATTTTATAACATATCTGTATCGTGAGCTTGTATGTGTCATACTCATTGTAAGCCTGTTCTCCCTCATCTCCTGCCCTCTATTGACAAAGTGTGAACATGTTTTTTCTCATCGTTGGGGACTACGTTCCACAACCAGACTGTAAATGTTTCCTGTCTGTATATATATATATCAATGGTTAATCTTGAAGTCTATCATTCTAGATCCATTATAGTGATCGAGACAATGCTGACTGAGTAATGAGTGAAATGTATGAATATGTATGAATGCAAACAGAATATGAATATTCATGAACAGTACCTGCCTGCTGTGTTATTGTTGTTGTTTTTTGTCTGGGAACAGATATATGTTGTCCTGTAATTACCTCATATACGCGGAAGTAAAAAAATATATGTTATTCAAAGCGAGCGAGGATTTTGCTTGCAGCGTGTCTTTTTATGTACCTCATTATAGTATATGTAGTGGCTAGTTGAAAGGGAGAAAAAATGTAAATATACTGAGAATTGCATTCTAAATTGTCGAGCTCTGTAAATGTTTGAAACCTATTATTGTATCAGTATTGTTATACAAGATAAGTTATCTGAACTATTTTCTATGTCTTTATATTATAAGGAACGACCTTTTCCTTCGCTTTAGGGTTCTAATGTATTGTAGCCTAGTTTTTAACAGGAAAATTTAAACTTTTATGTACAGGTATTATATATATAATGAATATATTTATTGTTATTTTTTTGCCATACGCATTTCGACAGTACACTGTATTCCTGTTTTCTCTCTGGAGAAATTCCTATATGCTTCTCGTGTATTAACTAGGCTTCAAGTTGCATGTCAATTTGTAGAATAATATAGCATTCTATAGTGAATATATGAATATATCTATATATATATGTGGAAATTTGAATAACGTGTGGTAATATTACAGAGTTCTCATATCAGCTGAAATATATGTATCAGTTATTGTACGATTTAACCATTTTTTTTCTTGTTTCATACTCCTTGCCTCTTCCAAAAGACTTTGCTTCGATAAAAACAATGTATCGATTTGATTATCCATATGTTGTTGATTTTTTTTTTCCTCAAAAAACATTTGAAAAATTCTTAAAAGTGTGTGAATGTTGTTATACAGCATATGTCACTTTACATATGTTGTGTTTCTGTTTATCTTTTGAAATTTGAAATGTATTTTTATACATTGGGGTATGTTTATTTGTACATTTGATGTAATTCTAGCAGATAACTTTCATTTTTTTACATGATTGTATTGTTTGTATAAACTAAAACTTGACAATAGATGTGATACGTTTCATTTTATTTTTTAATATCTCCCATTTTGTATGCATGCTGCATTTAAGTACAATAGAGTACTGCATTAGATTTGTGTTATTATTTTTTCCTTTGAAAAAAATAATTCTGCATAAATTTTGTGAATATGTTTATAATGATATGTTTAATGTTCTTGAGAACCATATGTATTCTGAAGTTAGGATATTATTGATGATTGATTAATACAAGATTGACATGACGTTTACAGGTATTGCAAAGAGAATTCTTATATATTCAGCGAAAATTTAAAATTTGTTGCATTATCTGCAAGTCAGATTCTTCCGAAAGTATCACCTACTAATCCTAACATAATTTCCTGCAACATTTCAATACTTTTCAACTACCGGAACTTCTCTTAAGGATGAAACTGTGATTTTCTGTACATAGGTATACTCTGTTATCAACTTCGTTTCTTCCTTAACAACAATAAGAATATAAATAAACACTTCTACCGGTCTCAAAGATTATCGTTTTGGCAATGGTTATGCACCAGAGATAAACTGCACAAATAAAAACCTCTGTGCGAAGCTTAAGTTATATCTTTGTCTCTCTTTTCCTGCTCTGACACGATGCAGACATAATCACTACTAAAATGGCCCTACATATAACGTATTCATATATTTCTAAAGCCAATGTTAAGTTCTGTTCGTAATGGAAAATGAATTTGCCTAACAAAGTTCTAAAAAGGCATTCAATGCTGCAACTACAGATATTTTCGAAATGATTAGGTCAGACATTTTGTGATAAATCACAAAGATTAGAAAATAAAGCTGATACCATAAACTGGCAGCAGTCACGCACAGACTCCTATTTGGGATTTTTGGTTAAACTGATTAGCAGCACTTTTTTACCAGTTTGTCCATGATTTTGTTGGTCCCCAACTTTGTATAGAATTACTCTAAACAATTTTTTTCCTCTTAAACCAAAATTCAATCCATTTCGCGGAACTTAAGATTAGCTTGTTACATCTTTGATCCCATGAATTTATTCACAGTTTATGTATTCAGTTCACTTTGACTTTCATAAGGTGAACGCTCGTTCAGAGGAACTATTATTGTGCAAACCGGTCTGGTATTCAGGTGTTTGAATAACTATGGGAGTATTCTGAATAAGAGTGTGTCACTCAATGTGTGTCTAGGTCATAGGTCATAGGGTTTCATCACTCTGAAAATGTAACAGAATCTGACATTTAAATGCTTCTGTGAAGACATCATGAAATCAATCAGGTAATTTTAGTTATATATTCATCAAAATCATAAATTTTTGTTTTATACAATTTTTAAACGCTGCAACATTCTTCCGTTATCAAATAATTTCACTTTTGCCTTTTAATTTTATTTTGTTGAAAGAGGTGGTTTGCAAACTGAATCATTTTGGAATATGTGATGTCTTCATTTTGAAATGCAAGATAGTTGTTTCGTTATCAGGATTCTATTGTATAAACAAATATGTGTTTTTTGAAATTTTGTTTACCAAAAGTACAAACGATTGTGATTATTTTGAAGTCTTCCAAATACTATTTCTGTCTTCTGATGACGTGTGTTTAGCAAATGATTTTTTACTTTTTCCCATGGAAAACTTTGGCATGTAGCTACCTTCACATGTTGGTCAAATTTAATCCTAGACTCAAAATATGGACTACCAGTAGAGTTCATGCCAAAATACACTCCAACATGACAGTTTGATGAAGATATGTAGGCCTATTAGTTATAGATGATACAACTACCTAATACTGGTGTAAGAAATAACTCTCGTCTGTAAAGAATGTTTTTCTTTCAGCTAGAGCTGTTTTTCCAGAATCAGGATTGATTTCAACATAACTGCTAGAGTACGGATATCATTTTGTAGGAATTACACCCAAGCAACTCAAAATATATTGTATATGTTACTGTCAAGCGGTATAAGATTCTGTTTTATTTGTGTCAATAATTTTTGTTCGTTTGTTCTCAAGAACTTTATGTCATGAAAAGAAATAATGTTTGTTAAACTGCCTTGGTTTTTATGTGTTTTTAAAGGTGTGTTTTCAGTTTCCTTTTTTATTATTATGCACATGAATGGGTACGGGTACTACAACATTACAGTGAGGAGAAATATTATGTGGTTTTAATACATTTTTTGACTTTGCACATATGCCTTATAACATTATTTTGTGCATATTTTGGTTCAAGATTTTTTGGAAGAATCTGTTTTCTGCAGATTTGATATGTGGTGATAGAAACATTGTGAAATTTTAGAATCATAAGCATGATAGATGATTGGTGTAGTGTGCTGTTGCATTCTATGCATGAGCGAGATTTTAGACGCTGGAGCCTTGCCGACACCGTTTACAGCACGGTGGGACTATTGGCAGAGATTTTTTTCACCTGTTGATTATTATTTATGGTGAATGAACGTGAATGCCGATAGCTCTAGCAGGCCAGGCGTCTAAAATCTCGCTTCGTGCTCCTAAAATGCTCTACCTAGTAGTTTATCCTAACAAGAGTTCTTCAATAGTAGTCAGATATTGATACAAAAATTTGATTGTTGATCATGTAAAGTAGATATATGGAAATAGACTGTTACCTGTTCTGTAGTGCATCAAGAAAATGTGTAGTTATCTCAAGTATAGATCCATTGGTATATGATAGATATTACGTGTTGTTGAGAAACAAACAAAAAAATTGATATTGACTCTTACGAAAGAAAAAAAACCTTGCTGTATTCTGATTTTAAATGGATTGTTGTTCTATGATACATGAACTTCGATTGGTAGATCCTTTTTGTAATAGGGTTATCATGGTGAGTTTGAACTTAGGCTGTTGGGTATTTCAAAGAGAGAGAGAGAGAGGGGGGAGAGAGAGAGGGGGATGAGAGAGAGAGGGAGAGAGAGAGATAGAGAGAAGGAGAGAAATACAGAAAGGAAACCAAGTGAAGACTAAATGGATCAATAATAAAGCATGTGTTACCAGGAAAAAGTGTCAAAGTCGTCCTCCAAAAGAGGTGAGCTAAAAATCATGGATGTTTCAAACAATTTTGAGGAGGTTAATACTTTAAGGAAACTGCCATATATCTTATTGTTGATTATTATTATTCTTATTATTATACTGTGTGACTATTCACCTTCATGCAAGATATTATGTGGCAAATAAATAACAAAATATGGTAACCAGAAAAGAACAAAATTATACCTGTGTTCAGAGAGTTTTATTTCATTTTGTATCAGTTTGTGTGTCAGAGTGTGTGCAAAATCATTTACTGTATTGTTGGCTGAATTTCAGTTTTCTGTCAAGACAGCTACAGTCAAACCTGTCTGTTAAGGCCACCCAATGGAAACACATGCACTGGCCACTATAGACAGTCACAGATCGCCTTTCTAGACAGGTTTCACAACATACATTCCTTCCTCTAGGGAGACAAAAATACATGACCCCTAGAGACAGGTGGCCTTCATGGAGAATTGACCACTTAGACAGATTTGACTGTAAATTTGAATTGAATTGAATTTATTCACCACTTTCATTAAAACATACAAAGTCAAAGAATACAATAAAATATTTCTTATACAGTAGGCTTGCGGGTGCACCATGTGAGAGAGAGAGAAAGAGAACATAGATAAGTCAATACAATGGAAAATACACTAAAGGAAGAGTAAGAAAGGATGAGGAACAGGGGAAGGAGTGCTTGATGAGGATAGGTACTCGAACGAGATTGTAAAGACTTTCTAGAAATCAACTCGAGGGCAATTTCAATACCCATTGTATCGCCCTCAGAAATCAAGTTTGGATTATGAAACCCGTCACTCTCATCTTCACGGGCTTCAATTGGTGAAGCACCAGTCTATTGAAATGTCTAATAGGTTGATTTCTTTTTGGAAGTTGTTTACGATTGTTTTCATTGTTGATGAAAGACTGTGTTTTGGGGGCAGTACATAACTAACAGAGGCAGAGAGAGTGAAATTGTTGCATCCGTCTAGCGGGAAAGGAAAGTGTTAAAAAAAAACACTTTACCAGAATGTTGTTTGTTGTTTGTTCCTATAAATTAATTGCTTGTTTGTTTGTTTGTTCCCATGTATAGTGAGTTGATATTTTCAAGGTGAAAGTTTGTTGAAGACGCATAGGTAATGAAGGACAAATGTTGGAAATGATCTATAGAAATGCCGAGTAAGATTCATTAGTGAGGAGATAACAGAAATGATAAGCGTGTTTGTGTGTGGGACGATTAATTAGGGTTTTTACAGACGTGTATCAATCCGATATGATTATACAAATTACGTCTGGGGTCGACCTTTAACGTCATCATCCGAAAGGCGTGACCTAGTCTCGAACCGGGTCCACTGAGCATTTCAATGAAGAAAGAATAGAGATGTAGGGTTTGGTATATCAGGAGAAATTGTTGAACAAAATAGAGACACGTGCATGTAGATGAAATCTTGAATCAGATGTCAAACTTGCCGACAAGTTTGTCGACAGAAATGGCAACAATTTCACTTCTGCTATTACTGGGAAAAGGTCCTCGTATTTGAAAAAAAAATGTCTTAAAGTGGGAGATACAAAGTTTTAATAATTTTTCAGCAGAATTCTTTTCTCTAATGCAGTATCCCCCCCCCCCCCCATTTAGCTTCTCCCCTAGAAATGCCCCTGTCTCTTAATGATCTGCCCCTACAACAAATCTGTAATACTGGCCAGCCTGCTTTATTAATTCTTTTAAGTTTTGAATAAGTAATTTATTGTATCCATATTGTGCTGTATTCTTATTAATTCTCGGGTGCACAAAAAAAGCTTCTAAAGAAAAAAAAATGAATTCGTTTTAATCGGTTTTCATTCATAAATATCTCTTTTATTAAAGATAACATACAAGTCATAATAATATTCATTGACAATTGCAAATAGATTCTGTATGCGGTACACACATTTTGATTGTTATGAAATGCATGATTGTGACGAGATCCCTGATAGGAATGTAAATGTATCACTTCCCTTTTTTGATCTGGCATAATATTTCACTGATAAACCTTTTGTGAGGAATTCATAGCAACAAATGACCTGACACATACAGTACTATAAATTAAAATACTATTTTACATCAAAATCTTCCCGTGCCGGGATTGGCCAGATATGGTTCACGCGACATAAAATACTTAGTAGTATCACGTGTAATACTGGATGTGTTGTGACGTCAATCATAGTGTGGCCCTCGGCGTAGTCGGTTGGTGTCTTCTGTAAAACATCGGGGGGGGGGGGGGGGGGGGTATTTCACAAAGACTAAGATCGACACTATGACAGGCTGTTCATGCCACTATTTGCTCTCACCATTAATATGATCTTTAGATAATTTTTTTTTTCTTCAATAATGAACTATCAAAAATGTAAATTCTGTAGATTTCTGACCATGATTTGTACATCCCTTGAGAGACCAATGCCAGTCAATGGTGAGATAAAACAGCGGCATGAACGGCCTGTCATAGTTAAGTCCAACTTAAAGTCAATATTAGTCTTTGTGAAACACCCCCCAGTTCTCAAAGCGGTTGGCTCAGGAGATGGAGAGATTATCTACGAAACGAAATTTCCTTTATTCCAATCCGAATAGCCGTGGAGTGTTTTTTCCCCTCACCCGTAACTTTTGCATTTTACCGAAACATCTGAGGGACCTTTTTTTGTACTTCCTAGACAGTATCTATAAACTAAGTAACTCTTGGAGAATGCGCTTCCAGTTGCACCACTCCAAAGCTTTGGAATAACCTACCACTAGACATAAGAACAGCCTCATCGGTTGCTTGTATTCAAAGTTTTGTTGAAGATGCACTGTCATGTTTTCAGGAGCTTTTGAATGCTTTTTTTTTTTTAATTGTGTGTCTGTAAAGTAGCACTGTTAGGATTTTTGTTTTTATCACAGCACAGTAGACTATATAGCAGCTGCGCGATAAAAATTGATTTAATCATTATTATTATCACGTAAAAACTTTAAAACGAAATGTTAGCTTCCTTTTTTTTGAATATAACTTTATGCATAGAATTATATTACAGTATCATTTTGAAACGTCTGATTTTCTTCCTCAAGATTTCCTGAATCTTCGACAATACATAGCGGTCTGTACAATTCATTGTCGACCATAACAGTGCTCATGATGCCGGCATCAATCGCGTCGTCAACATCGAGTCCGTGTGTATCTATGTCCTCCCCAATCTCATCGTCGATTTCATTCCTGTCAACGATTTGATACTCTGGATCATCGACAGCTTCATCGTCGACAGGCTCGAGCTCAGCATGTTCATTTGAAGCATCATCACAATCATTGTCCATATCGTTGACGGTTTCATTTCTCCAGACCACGCGGTCGTTATTACCAGGAATTTCAACTGCATCGCTTTTTCCATGGATCTGATTCGCAGGATTATGATTATCAGGTTGTATGGGATTTGTCTGAATCTGCTCGTTGACATTCTCGTCGTCATTTTCGTTCCTCGTGACAACATGATAGAAAGTGTCGTCCAGGGGCGCAATATCATCGTACAGTTCATCGTCAACAGCATCGGAAACTTTCCTCCATTTCTCTTCCGAACTACGATTATCAGGTTGCGTGGGGTTTGTCTTAATCTGTTCGTTGACATCTTCATCGTCGCTTTCGTTCCTCGTGACAATGTGATAGAACGTTTCATCTAGGGGCGCAGTGTCATCGTACAGTTGATCTTCAACAGCATCGGGAGCCTTCCTCCATTTCTCTTCCGACCTATCACCACCAGCTACATTGTACGCACCATCTCCACTGCCCATACCAACACTTGTATCGTCGTAAATATGTCCGTCGCTTTCCTGCTTCATCGGGATATATAAATCATTCTCGATTAAACTAGCTGCGATTGCGTCACTGTTCGAGCTCGATCGTCTGGGATCGTCACTGCAGCCGACTTTCAACAATTCATTCGATAGATCGCACACTTTCATCTTATCCGAGCCGAAATCGGTCGATCGCTGCTTCTCTTGAGTCTCCAGATCGTACGGTATCTCTTGGTATACTTCATTATCGCTCTGCCCGTCAACTGACTTCGCTGTAAAATCGCTGGTACCGTAATACTCGATATCGGCCAAATCATCTAAACCGGTACCGATATTAGATCCTCGATGGGGATACCGGTGGTACTCGTCAATACCGATGCCGCTTTCATCACACCCACTATCGCGGTCGTTTTCGTTACCGCCACTCCCATGATACATCGGTAGATCGGAACTCATCTTTTCACTTGTCGTATCGATGTAAGTCGAGTATCTGTGATCGTCTTCTTCGCCGATGTCGGTCGGTGGTCGCGGTAATGGCTTTTTGATGGAGTTCTCACCGTTTGATGGCGAGTGATGGGTAGAGTTTAGCACGATGTGGTCGATGGTCTGGTATTCGTAGGCAGGGTTGATGTGGTGGAGGTTGTCGTCTTCGCCCAAATCCTTGCCGCCATCATCGACCAGGGGTGGGGAATTTCTGGGGGAAAGTAAATATGTCAGAGAAGATATTGAAAGGGAGGCACTCTGCAATGATCTGGGGTCTTATTGGGGGGGGGGGCAATTTCGTTTCGTTTTGTAAACAAAATAATATTACCATTGGTAGGGGTTTTGAGAAACGCATAGACAATTAAACGTGGAAATAACAAGTTCCTTAAAAGAGAATGGGCACTAGCATGACCTTTATTGTAGTCGTCTTCACTATTCCATCTTTACCATGCTCATCAACATCATCAGGAAATAATAATTCTCTCCCTCGTAACAATAGGTGTCATCATATCATTTGACTTCTGTATGAATGACAACAAGGTCATCATCATTCTGTCATCTCCAGCGCTTCATCACCCACATCATCACTATCATCATCCTCACCGTTATTAACATTATTGTCATCATCATCATCATCATCATCATCATCATCATCTTCACCATTATTACCATAATCATTACCACCAGCAGCAGCATCATCATCACAATTATTACCATGACCATCATCATCATCATCATCATCATCATCATCATCATCATCACCATCATCATCATCTCATCATCATCTTCACTATCATCACCATCATCATCATCGTCGTCGTCATCATTTACACCAACATTACCATGATAATTATGATCATCATAATCTTCTTCTTCTTCAACACCATTATCATAATCATCATCACTATCATCAACAAAGACAAAATCGTCGTCATCGTCGTCATCATCATCATCATTACTATTAATGTCTTTGCCTAGAGTTCTTACCTCGACCGTCGAACTAGCCATAGAACAACAAGGAGAAGCAACCCAACAAGAACGAGCAGAGATATGATCACGGTTGACACCACAACTTTCATATTACCTGCAATGAAGAAAAAAAACTAGAGATTGTACGAATCAGGCAGAAAAAGGGTAAATACAAATTCAAGAATGGATGAACGACCAGCTAGTACAATCGTGACAATTGATGGGAGCTAACAGCATGACAGCATGAATTGGTGATAATTCAAAATATTAAAACATTTTGAGAAATAGAGACACAAGCACCCAGACTTGTATGCAAAAAGACATAGAGGGAGACGGACGGACAAACATAATAGAGAGGTTAAGAGAGAGAGAGAGAGAGAGAGAGAGAGAGAGAGAGAGAGAGGGGAAGGGAAGGGAGCAAGAAAAACAGACGGGAAGAAAGAGGAGAAGGAAGAGGAATGGGAGTGAGGGAGTAAATGGAGAGAGAGAGAGGGAGAGAGAGAGAGAGTGAGAGAATGAAAGACAGAAAGAAATGTAAGCAAAGGAGAAATAACATTTGCTTAAAATTAACAGGCCGACAATCACAATACTCTCAATAAAAAGAAGAATATTGGATTGTGAATAATAATTTTCATTCCATTAAATCAAACATTTTTTTTTTCTCTCTCAATGCTAGGACCCTGTCCACAAAATACCATTTTGCGTCCATATTTTGTATAGCATATAACAACCAACCTGTTCGTGGGGCATTCGATCCCGGCACCTCTGAGACGGTACTCCATGGCGATGTCAGGATTAATGTCGAACCCTTAGCAGACGACATCGTGCTGCCTTCGCTCGTCTTAGAGGGCGCTAGACCTCTAGTCGACCTCGGATTTACAGACTGACTACTAGTCGGGTTTGTCGTAGGGAGGAAGGTCGGGTCTGTCGTAGGAATAAGAGTTCCTTCTGTAGTACTTTTTGGTTGAGGATACATGGTAGAACGAGCCTCGGGAGTTGTGCTTCCCGGAGGAGGTGTTTCTGTTGCATTTAAGGTTGAACTGCCTGCGTCAGTTGTTGGAGTAACTGTTGTTTGTGCTGTCGATACAAAAAGTTGTCAAGAAAATTTACATTGAAGAATATCATAATTAGTCCACTTTCTATAATATACTATGAACAAATCCTTTGGACAAACTTAGCAATGTTGACGTATTTAATAAATAGGCCTACTTTTCATAACATGACATCACGGCTTAATTTTGTTATCCCTCTCTTTTGTTCTTAATCCTGCCTTTTCCTTTACCAGACGTATTATCCGTCTCTATGCCCTTTACAGATATTATTACCCCGGTCATTGGATTCATTCACGCACATATGTACACAATCTCCACTCCCTGGGTAGTATTCGTACCATATGGTCACCGTGAGTGCATATGGCAATTACTGACACAAGGGCTCTCATCATCCTACCAGGTCCCAATTTATCTCCTTGGTATGGAGTGGCAAACGTAGATCAATGCATTTCCAGAGGACATTAGTGCCGTGTCGAGGATCGAACCCACGACCTTTGCATTTCGGTAGGCCTTTTTTTATGAGAAAGAGATATGCTGAAAGTATGTAGGCATAGTGTAGAATCAAAACACATATAGCAAAGTGATTGGGGGGGGGGGTGATCAGTCCCATTTAAGTACTACCAAAAAAATTTAATGTTTATACATGTATTAACCAATGCGATTCGGAATTGCACTTCTCTTCTTCATTAGCCCTCTACGTCAGAAAACAAAACGACGTCCTTGTAAGGATCATCCCAATCTCACCTTCAATGCGAGTTGCAGAGACAACTATCCAAAACCCTTGGACAGACACCGAGCCATCACTGACAAACTGAAGCCACAGATACGGACTAGCCGACTGTATATCATTGGGTACGACGCTCCCACCGTAGACGCCGATCACTTTTGAGTCGGCGTCCGAAGGGTGCCGACCGGTTCCGATGGTTAACGAATCATACTGAACATCCTCTAGGACGAATTTCTCAAAGTGGAGAAGAATGAGGTGATTTGTTGGTGTCGAAATGGTCCAGAGTTCGTCGGAGTTATCTGGGTAGTCTAGAGGAAAGTCTGGTGAAAAGATGTTCGCTTGGTCCTCCGAATCGAGAGTTATGTTTCTTCTAAACTCAACACCTGTTAATTGAATAACAATGAAAATGATTTCTTATGCATCATGGGTGCTAACTGTCTCAACCTATGCTTATAATAATTACTATATAAATGTATACTCGTGTTGTGGTTGTTGTAGGATAGGGGTACTGACTATTTCAAAAAGTCGGCATGCACCACGATCCCCCCCCCCCCCCTTTCTCTCTCTCTCTCTCTCACTCTCTCTCTCTTTCTCTTCACCTCACTCCATCCTCCTCTCCCATTTTGCATGATCATCTCTCATGTTATTCACCCGTTCTCTCCTCGGCCATTTCTCCTAACCCCCATCATACATTCCTTCTTACTCCTCTATTTTGCCTCATCTTCCCTTCTGTCCTTCGGAGAGGACCAGAAGCAGTCGGTCCTCTGGTTGCTTACTAACAAGCATTAATGCTTTCTTAGCAGGCAGGTAACATTAATACCACACACACACACACACACACACACACACACCGCTGTCCGTTCTATTTCACATAATTATTCTTATTTTACTCTTCTCACAAAACTCGCCCTTTTTTTCCTAAAGCCTATCCCACTTTCCCCACAATCACATAGAGAGAATTGTATTCCATCCCTTTAGATATTATCCACAGTTCTGTGTGATTTTTTTTCTCACCATTTTCCACAGCGTATATCTGAAGAGAGAATCCGTCATAATTGACAGAGCCATCTGTCGTAAACCTCAACCACGTCTCACTCGAAATGGAGAAAGCGCCCTCTCCGTCTGCCCTACCAGAAAACTCCTTCAGCGTTGTCGAGTAGTCATCCGGATCGGTTCCATTACCGAGAATCAAAATATCGGATCTGGCCTCGGTGTCCAGTTCGTCGAACATAATAAGGAGCTTGAATGACGGTTCGCATGTAACTATCCAAGATAAATCTGCGTCATCTGGATAGTCGGATTCCGGATAGTTCGGTGAAATAAGGTTCAGGGTTTGAAACCCGGGAAGGTAGTTGTTTAGGGTAGGATCTGTGAAGAAAAAAATGTTGGATTGTTTTATGCATTGTAATTATACAAAATAAAACGCTTTTAAAGAGGTTGAACCATTATTTTTTGACAAATTGAAAAAGGCTTTGGGCTTCTTCTTCTTCTTCTTCTTATCGAGTCACTACACAAGTCCCGTCCAGTGGTCCACACAGGCTTTGGCACGGCAATTAACGGCTTCCAGGTCATCTTGGGTGCATGGCTCTGGCAGGGGTGGGCAGACTAGCAGGTGTTCCATTGTCTGTTCCTGGCCGCATTCACATGCCGTTTGTTCGTCTCCTAGACCCCACCTCTGCATTAGGACTCTGCATCGACCGTAGCCAGTTCTTAGGCGGTTGAGGCTAAGCCAGGTAGGCCAAGTCTCACTGGAGCCGGTTGCGAGGGATTCCTTCGGGCTGAGGGAGAGTTTATGTGGAGTTGTCTGAAGGTGGTTAGACCACAAAGTCATCCTTTGGTTGTGAGGGCTAGTATTAAGAGGCTCTACCGAGTGCAGAAAGCTGTGTCTGGATTTGAGCCGCTTGCCCACTGGCTGTTGTTCGAAGAGTGGGTGGAGTGGATTGTTTTCTTGTTTGTCCTTTTCTTTCTGGGACAAGACCAACCTTCTGACGTGTGGAGGGGCAATACCGCAGAGCAGGTAGATGTCTTCTACTTTAGTTGGCCTTAGGCATCCAGTGATCGCTCTACAAGCTGAATTTAGAGCTGGGTCAATCTTGGGTGCATGGGCCGACCTACTCCATACTGGTGATGCATACTCCGCAGCAGAGAAGCAAAGCGCGAGGGCTGTCGTCCGGATTGTTCTGGCATCAGTCCCCCAGTTGGTGTTGGCTAGCTTCTTGAGGATGCTGTTGCGGGCTTTAACTTTTGCCTTTGTGTTGGCAATGTGGTTCTTGTAGGTAAGGGAGCGATCGAGTGTGACGCCTAAGTAGACTGGGTTGGGAGTGTGCTTCAGCCTTTTCCCATACCAGCTGATCCTTAGTTGATGGTTGGCATCCCTGTTCTTGAGGTGGAATGCGCTTATCTGAGTTTTATCAGGGTTAGCTCTCAGGTGGTTGGTCGCATAGTATGGGATGAGACCGGCCAGGGCATCACTGAGGGACTCCTCCAACTTCACAAAAGACTGGTTCTGGGTGGCGATGCAGAGATCATCGGCGTAGAGGAAGCTCCTGGTGTTTGGGTGGATCGGTTGGTCATTCGTGTACACGTTAAAGAGTAACGGTGCGAGCACACTTCCTTGTGGTAGGCCATTTTTCTGTCTGCGCCATCTGCTGCGATTCCCATTGAGAACCACAAAATATCGCCGATTGGACAGCAACGTCTGGATGAGTCCAGTCAGTCTCACGTCCTTTGTCAGCTCAAAGATCTTCCTGGTAAGGATTCTGTGATTCACGGTGTCGTAGGCAGCAGAGAGATCAACGAAAGCAGCTCCGGTGATTAGCTTACTCTCATACCCGTCCTCAATGAACTGAGTGAGGTTTAGGAGTTGGCCAGTGCATGATTTTCCTGGCCTAAACCCTGCTTGTTCTGGAATGAGATGTTCATCCACGAATGGGGCGATGCGGTTGAGGATAAGCCGCCCGAACAGCTTATATGTATGGCACAGTAGGGAGATAGGCCTGTAGCTCTTTGGACTGGCTGCGTCTTTACCAGGCTTCAATAGGGCAATAACAAAGGCTTTGGGCAATAAACTATTTGGGACCTCCGAGGCGTTATTTTAAATTCTCGGGTCGAGCTCTGATATATAACAACAATGAGAATATGAGAAGCTGTCTTCAAGAAATACGATATACCGAATAACAATGATAAAACAATAAGTACAACAATCTGTAACATCGTGTGATCAAATTGTAATTGTCGGCCTGTGATTGGGGCTTAATAGTTTATCTCTGTGGTAAGCTGTGTCAGGATACAATGAGATCTTGCGCCGTTACACACGAAACGTCATGCGGAATGCGATGTCATCTGTCAAGTCAGTTTGTCAATACGCTAGTAAATGCAAGTAGTGTTTGCATTGTTTATTTTGTATTCACGTTTTGAACGATGTTACTCTCACACGTCACGGTGTGTCAAAGGTAGCGCATGCCGCTGACGCAGTCGCTGACGCAGTCTCATATCGGGAAAAAGCATCAAGTATAATGTCGACTGGGTTATTACCTGCGCCGATCAAGCTTGTGGAAGTAATTTATCAATACGCCATTCGTTGACGGAGAACCTACGTCAGCTAAATGACGCCTCGTGTGCAACATGCATTCATGCAATAAGTGCACATGCGATTGAAACTCACCTAGCTGCGTTGATTGGAGCGTCAACGTAAACCCGTCATCATCTTTCCTTAGGTCCGTCACCATCTCAATCCAGACATCACCGACGGTTGTGATGACGTCATCGGGAAGAAACTCCCCAGAGTAGCGAACCAGGACGTGGTCGCCATCGCCCGCGGCTTCCCAGTCGGTGCCGATCGTCACGTAGTCAGCCTCCTTCTCCATGGCGAAGGCGAGGAAGCTGATTCGAACCCGGGACCCACTTGGGGAAGACACGAACCACAGCTGATGGCAGTCGTTTGGATAGTCGGAGGGGTAGTCCCTAGATGTGATCTGAGCGGAACTGTTGTCATCAAGAGAGATTCGCTTAGTCTCTGGAAAAGGGGAAACAGAAATCGATAGGTGGGGACAATTCATAGTGTTATTTTTCTCTCTCGATATAACCATGGTAACTATTACATGTGCTTAATGGCTTTGAATCTCTATACTCTACAGTCTGTTTCCCATGAACTCGCTGGCGGGCAACTTTTTGCAAGCTTCATTTTGAAAACTGTTACCCTTTATGTCAGAGATTTGTTGGTAAACTTAAAGGCGATGTCACTATTCCTAACGTTTCATTTGTCTTTTTGATGAAACTACATATTCCAAAGATATGCAGCCCAATACTTTTTTTCTAAATTAAAAGGGGGAAAAAATGAACATGTAAAGTTACTATTACTATTCCACATCTTCCATTATATGTATTTTTTAAAATGATTTATTCAAACTTTTGTGGGGTGAGGGAGGGGGGGGGGGGGGAATGGGCGCCTGTACTTTTTTTTCTTTTTTTTCCAGCCAAATCAGAAGGCATTTATTCTGACCAAGTACTCATACACAACAAGTGATGAATATCAAAGGAAAAAATTTGTTTAAGGTATTACGACTTATTTAGAAAAAAATACCTTTTATTTCAAACATAAATCTCCTTTCTGCCAGTATATCACCTTGCCCCCCGGAAGTGAACCATATCCAAATGCTCTCGGTAGGAGATACGATACTCGTCGATACCGGATCGCGTCCAGTTAGATTAAGAAAGACAGTCGTT